ATTAAATTTCTTCTAAGTTACAGAGTGAAAACATTCCTGTTTTTTTAAAGTCTGTTATTGTTATTCATGCACATGCACACAGTTGTTGGCAACCCCAGGTTATGAAACACTGACAGAGTAACTGTCCACAAGTATTCAGGCCAAACTGCTTTCAGGTTTGAAGTTTGTTTTTCGGTTTGTCCTCAGATGTTCAGTAGCATTTGCAGAAAAGTCCGTTGTTTTGCTTTTGCGTGTTTTTGGCTGCATGTTTCAGGTCATTATCCTGCTGGAAGGCCTTTGATTGTGACGGAGGTCAAGCTTTCTGACACCAGGAAGAACATTTCTGTCCCTAAGGCCTTTTATGGTCTTGAGATTTTATTGTATCCTGAACAGATTAAAGATGCAGCAAAGCAGCCCAGAACATAGCCAAGACTCCTCCATGTTTCTCAGTGGGACAGAGTTTTCACTCTTCATTTTGAGTTTGTGGTCATAAAGTTTTGTTTCATTTGACAAAAGAACATTTTCCCAGAAGTTTTGTGGCTTGTCAATATGCATTGTGGCAAATTCCAGTCCTGCTTCCTTCATGTTTTGGATAAATCATAAAGGAAGCATGTTTTAAGCATGGAAGCATCTCTCTCTCTCTTTCTCTCTCTCTCTCTCTCTTTCTCTCTCTCTTTCTCTCTCTCTTTCGTTCTCTTCTTTTATCTAATGAGTATTTGACCTGAGTTCACATCCTTAAATGGAAATGTTTCATTTGACCCAGGGAGGAGACAATGAACAGTACAAAAATGTTTCACATGCATTGTGCAATCGATTTGCTAAAATATTTAATGAGCAAAGGAATGACTCAATAAGCTAGTGGAAGTACGGTTGTGAAACAAACTTCTCTTTTGTGAGATCCTCTTTTTATTTTGTGAAATGTTTTTTCCAGGCCTGGACTGGAACTTGGCCCAGAACAGGACCACCAACCCCACAGCTCTGTTGTCCCAATGTCCACAGATCTTACAACCAAACACTAAGCTGCTGGTGCTTTGCTCCTCTAATCTTCAACTGAAATGCTACTTGTGTTTTGTTCCTCTAACATAATTTCATATCTATGTTGTTTCATCTGAAGGAGCAAACAAAGCAGCTGAAACTTTCTTTATGACTAGAGGACTCCACCATCTCAGCTCCAGCCTCTCCATCATCTCCAGCACCAACTCCAACCGCCAGGTGTGTTGAAGTAGAAACGCATCTTAAAGTGACAGGACACCGGCCCTCGAGGCCTGGAGCTGCCCACCCAGAGACTCTACTGCATCAGGGAAAAACAAGGTTTTACAAACACTCAAAATTAAAAGGACTAAAACAAAGAGTTACTTGTAACTCCAGCAAATAAACAAGTTAATCTGAATTAAATTCAAAAGGACAATTTCAAGGCGTTAAATAAGGAAGTAAGATTTTGTTTGTCATATTTGAGATATAGTATTTGATAACTGAAGGTAACATAGGTATTTAATTATTCTATAAAACAGAGCACACATATTCCTACCCCTTTAAAATGCAGCTTGAAATAGAAAACAATTTGCAATAGTGCAGCACAAAGTGCTTTACAAACCAAAATCCAACTAAAACACAAAAGGATGCAACCAGAATATAAAAAACCATAAAAGCGTTGAGTGCTTGCTGGCTGCAGTAATGTGGCAGCACTGCCCCCTGCTGGGTGGAAACTCAGACATTTAACACACGTCTCACTCCTCACCTCACAGTGCAGGTACTGGAGTCAAGTTTATTTGTACAGCACATTTCAGAAGCAAGGCAGTTTAAAGGGCTTTGCAAAAGAAAACCAGGTGAGTGAATGTAGTGTGAAGTGCTTTAGTTTTCTCTGGATTTGAGAAAGTCTGATACAAATACAGGATATTCCCCATTTATTGCTGCTTCTGGAGATTAATCATTTGCTTTGTTAGAGTCTGATGTGTGCTCAGATTCATGTCTGCAAATAAATCTGATAAGGTCTGTTGAGTTAAGTCAACATCTGCAGTGCCTGTTGGCACAACAATGAAATCTGTCTCTGTATCATGTGAAACTCCTAACTTCTAATCTGCAAGTCAAATAAACCTCACAAGTTCAGATTTTAGACTCAACTGTGAAATGAAAAAACAATTTTGAAAACTTGTCAAGAAGTTAAAGAAGGATAAGAAGTTTGCAGCGTAAACTCAACATGGCGTCGAGGTGGCGGCGTTTGGATTTTGGTTCATCAACATCAAACTTCAGCTGAACATTTTCCTCCTTCTCTCAATTCTCACTCACTGAAAATAAAAATAAAACACAGACAGAATTTTAAACAAATGTCTGGTGAAGGACATTTAATAAATGTCACCAATTTCTATTGTTTCTCTAACTTTGTGTCTGGTAGCTTTGGAGTCTTCAGCCTGTTTGAATACAGAACAGCAGAAGACTTAATCTCACACTATAACATCAAGGTTTCGTAAAAAGCATTTAATTGTGTCGGTTTGTTAAATCTATGCCCTTGATTTTATTTATCTTACTGAAAACTAGAGTCAATTCTGAATGACCACAATCACAGGTTGATGGTTCAAATGCAATGTTTTGCTAACTCACGACAGAAGGAAGCTGCGACTTGAGATCAATGAATTTGTGTTCTTGCTTGAGGCCCAGATGTTGCAGCACACTGACATGTGGCGCAGTCAGATTGAGTGGGCCGATGTTTGAACCCGCAGTGTAAAGGTGTGGCTCCTTACTGAATCAAAAATGCACAACATTCAACCAAGGGTGAAAATCCCATCTCATTATTGGGGATCAAAAATAGGAAAAATCTCCTAAGACCAATTTTTTGGGGGTCAGCAGAGTTACAGTGAAATGTAATAGAAAATGTTTAAAACGTTTTTAAACCCCGTTCAAGCTGCAGGAGCAAAAATAACTAGAAATGCAAATCAAACATGTTTTTCTCAGTAAGATTCCTGTTGAGAAGTAAAATTAAATTCAAATGTTGCTTGGATACGTTTTGTTCAGTCTCACTGATCTAATCTCTGCTACAAAAAGTTAAAGTTCTAAATAAAAAGAAAAGCAGCTAATCAGCAACTGCTCTTAATAAAATTCCTCATAAACATATTGTAATGGCTCCCAATGCAAGCCACGGGATATTTAAATTATAACTTAAGTTGCTTTATTTTAAAGCCTTTTTTAGTTTCGTCATGTCCTGGATGATGGAGAACCAACAGGCAGATAGAAATTAATATCTGAGGAGTCTTATAACTTAAATGGGACATTTAAATCTCCTGGATTTACAGCTATAGTTAAATCAAGACTAAATCAAGACGCCTGTTCATTGTTGCCTTTGAACCATAATAACTGGAACATGGACCAACATATTAGATGTTCATTGATGATTTGATGTTACTAATTTTAAATAATGTTAATGCATTTGTGATGGTTTTGTTGACCATTTTAACTCCACAAAACCTTGCAGCCAGTGGGAGAGAAACATCACATCATTCTGACTGCAACATGTTTTATTCACCAAGAGCAGCTTTAAAAGAAAATACAATAAATTCAGCTGTGATTCTGAATGATTTGACATTCAAGATGTTATTCAGAAAAAAGAAACATTTGATAAAAGTATAATATTAAGACCAAACAGACAGTTATTTTTATGAGTTAATAGTTTTTTTCTCCACTTTTCTGACATATCTTCCATGTTGTAACTCAGAGAAAAGTCTGATCTCTTTTTATATCTCCTTTTCTCCTGTCATTGTTTGGCAACTTCTATAACATCCGAAACACAGGATATTTTTGTTGTTGCATATGATGCCACAAGTTTTAGTCTATATTTAATATAGAAATATCATTCTGTTTAGTTCCTTTTTGTTTTATTTTTGGAAGAGGGCATGATTAGACATTTTATGTAAAAAATGTGTTTTCTTGATATGGGTTAAAGGTGAACAACAGAGAAACATGTGGAAAAAAAAGTTTTTATTTCCCATCACACCACAATCATTCTGTATTGTTGTCAGATATTTGGACACATTTAAGCTACATAATCCAGTCATTTCTCCTCTTTATCACATCAGTGGAGTCAGCCTGAAGCCACTGCAGCAAACATTTATACACCACATGCTTTTGTAATTGTTCTTAATGACGGTCAGTTTTATTTGAACCAGAGAAAAAAATAAAATGTTAAAATTATCCTAATAAGTTTCCTGCTCTCTTGATCAGGAATGGTTAAAACCACAAACATCGGTTCATTTTTACAGGAACGTCATTTATTTGCACATTGAAATCATAAAATAAAATGTTTTGCAAGGAATAATTCTACAGCTATTTAATAATGCAGATATAGATAAGTTTACATTTAAAGTAAAATATTAAGTGTAATTATGATGCCGTCATCTTTTGGTATAAATAAGTCAGTAGGTTGGGACAATTGCTCACACTTTTTAACTGCTTCTTCTTTTCTGCCACCTGCTGGTCGTTACTAGTTACTGCAGGGAGTTCTGCACGTCAGCTTTCTGTTTATTCTGGGGTTTGTCCAAAGTGCGGTCTGCGGGCCATTTGCTGTCCATAGACTGATTCTATGGAGTCCCGGAGGACAACTACATGTGATCAATGTGTATTGACTTTATTTAAACTAATTACAGGAAAATAGTTGAGCACAACAAAGTATTTTAAGAAGCTCATTAATTAAACTCATTTTATTTGTCTAACATCAGATATACTTTATTTTCTCTGGGAGTGACATAAACAGATCATTAAATAGACATAGAGGTTGACATTGACACAGCTGAGCGTAAAATTTAGAATCATGGAAGATCTAATTTTTTACACTTAATTGCATTTAATGAAAATATTTGGTTCTAAAACGTTTCCATTTGGCCCAATTTGTGTTTTGAAACTGGCTTATTTTAATTTTTACATATAAAAGAAACAGACACACAAATATTGCTGCTGGCATCTTATTTATTATCAGAGATGAATTGATTACAGGTAGCAAACTCTCACCAATGATTAATCAACTGGATTATTTATTAGTAATCAAGTGAACTTTTGATTCATGTTTGAAGCTAAAAGTTGATGTTTGATTATAAGAAAAAGCAACTCATTATTTTTTGCTGGATGTTTGACCTGCAGATTTAAATGAGAGGACGGATCTTCATGCTGATGCTCTTCAGGGAGTAATTAACTCCCTTCCATGCAGACCATTCCACTCCAATATAATGGAGTGTGTTGTCAGCCCCCCAGCGATAAACCCCATTGGGGTTTGTATAGTGACCCTGATTGTACCAGAAAGCACCGAGATATTTTTTGGCACAGTTGCTGCTCCACTGGTCCTGGTCTTTGTCAAAGGTGGAAAATTTCATTCCACCGTGATAGGCAAGGCTGTCTCCTGCAGAAATAATAATAGGATACAAAAACTATATGAATAAAACAGACATTCAGTTGAAAGCTTAAATAGTGAAAAAAAAAAAATCTGCGGGATCTGAAAACAAAATAAAATTGTAATTTCAATATGTAAAAAAAAATGCAGGCTTTGTGAAATATTGTTAATATTTTGTGAAATAAATAAAAAGTTATGTTAATCTCTTACTGGGATATTATCAATGAGATCAATTAAATTTACTTTACTCAGATTTTGTGCTGTTAACTACCAACATCAATCTGTTTCCTTCAGAACCATGAGAACAACTCTGGATTTAGATATAAATGACACAACACATTTAATCCAACCAGGGTGGTTTTTATTTTTATTTAATCCTGTAGTTAGAATAGACTAGCTACAGTAAATTATCTTTATTATTATTATTGTTGTTATTATACACCTGCACTAACACAGGAGTTCCTCAGGGATCCATACTCAATGCCTTGATCTTTACTTTCCAGACCCAGCACAAGTCGAATTATTTTATTTGCCAAGGGATAAACAGTGATGGGCATCATTCCATCCATCCTGTCTAGTAAAGCTTTGATGAGGTTTTCTCATGACTCACCAGCGCCCCCTTTGTTGTTGAAACCGCTCACATGCAGAAGGTAACCCTCACACTCAGCATCGACTTTAAATGAAGAGTAAAGAGCAAACTTTTTGTTTCCTTCAAAGTCCTCCATGTCGACCATCAGTTCATAATTCTGACTCCGTGTCAATTCATGGATGTTATCAAGACCTGCACAGACATGGAAACCATTAAATTTAGATTTGCATTAAACACCTGGTTAATCTGGGTTTGCAGGAACTGAGTTATAACTATGTTATAAGTAATATATAAACCAACCATACATTGACTAACTGTTTAGGTCGGTGTCTCACCCAGCCAGTACTCTCCAGCAGCGTTTCCAAAGCCTCTCTTGTACTCCGCAAAGGGTCTGTAGAAGTTTACAGAGCCATCCATCCTCCTCTGGAAAACCTGGAACAACAAAGGAATCTGATCAAGAAGTGAACAACGTTCTCACTGACACACTCAGGGTGAAAAGGAAGTGGGTTGTACCAACTCTGAATTGGTATCAATAATCAATATTTAACATGACAAAACTGATCAAATCTTATCTCAGGCAGGTGAAAATGGAAGGACAATAAAGACTCTTCTTTCAACAGAACTTGATGTTTGTTGGATGAAATCCCCCAAGAATCCTGAGATAAACCAAGTTGAAGTGTAAACAGAGAGAGTTCATGTAGAGATGGACTCACCGTCCAGCGTCCTCCCTCTGAGTCCATGTCGCAGTAAGCCTTCACACAAACACATTCATGACTTGATGCAGTTTTTATTATGTAATGCAATGTCACACTTTATGTGGAAAAATAAATACTATCAAGAAAGTTCAGTTTGAAAGAGTCAGTTTATGTAATGTGTATGAAGATTAAGTAAAACATCCTCAGCATTGTTAACAGATAAACCTCCAGTCTTGGTCCTGCACAGAACTTTAATCTGGATCTTCATTTTTATGAACAACCAAACATAAAGTTCACCTGAATAGCAGATGTAGATCCACTTGGATAGATGATGTAAACTCCACTGGTAAGATTATTATCCTTATTGTAGATGTCATCACGATCTCGTGGCAGTTGGTCCTCAGCCGTTTCACAGCTGATCAGCAGTGGAGCCAGGAGGAAGAGAAGTGATAACAGCTGGAAGACAGAACATGACACCTTCTGAACATCATCAGAGAAACTCTGATTAACGTTCATTTAGTCAGATTAAACCTGATCCCTGATCTTGTCCTGCATGTGGCCTGTAAAATGTTCTGCCAGATTTTCAGTCAGAATTATGCTGAATTCTGCCTTAACAAAGGTTTCTGGTTGGTTTGATCCTCCATTTTTTAACAACTCATTCATCAGTCCTGTTAACAAATGTTATTTCCAGAGCCAATGATATGCAGGAAGTGTTTAAACAAATGGTAAACATTTACGATGTTGAAAAAGCTCAATGCAAATGTTTAGACTGGAAAATCTTTGGATTAAACCGATAAATATGTTGTGGACGTTTTCCTTTTCATTGTACCGACTATATTCATTATAAAAGTGATAATCGATTCACTTATGAATCTTTATAGGTCAAGACACAAACTTACCTTCATCCTTACTGTTGAACTGGACAAACTGAAAATCTGTGGTCAGTGTGGTTCACTGTTAATATCCAATACAATAAAGATAAATTAACTTTAGTGGCTAAACTCAGTTGTAAATGAATTCATGTGTTCATCTCTCACCTGCAGCTGAATGAACTTGATTCCAAACTTCTGCTTCTCCTCTGTGTCTCAGACGTTCAGACTCCGTTATTTTATACCTGCTGATGTGTCACCTCACCTTGATGATCAGAAATCTAAATCAAACATCACCTAATGAAAAACATAGCTTGGCTTCTTCAACTTGAAAATAAATACCGGATCCAGGATCTGGGCTGAGTGTCAATAACACTGGAAGATCAGTGAACCCAAAGAAGATAGAACAATCATCATTTCAGGCTTCCAAGATCTATTTGCTGTTTTCTCTTATACATATTTGTTCAGTTGTGACATCAGGCCTTTCAGTAAATGTATCAGGGACCTGGTTCTGTGTCCTGGTACCAGTGTGACCCAACTGTTCAAGCAATGTAAATAAACTGTGATAGTTCAGAAACTATTTATTAAAAACATTTAATTTGGCAAATGAGCTTCATCCGGATGTCTGTTCTAGTTCAGGAATTTGACTGAACACAAAACGTTATGTTGTCAACATGTAGGAAGTTTCTGAAAGAGGAAACTGATCCACTCCATAAGCTCAGCTCCATCCCGGCTCCAGTTTCGCCTCCAGTTGCCCACTGTCTGCTCGTCTCTAGTTCTGTCATCACCTCCCACTGCTAAAGCTTACTGGTTTCTCACTGCTACAGCTCCAGGGTTTGGGGTTTCCCCTCTGGTACTCGGTGTTCCTGGGCGTCAGGCTGCATGACTGGGTTCCAGGTCAGAACAGCCGGCTTTGGGGAGCCGAGCCGCACAGAAAGTTTCCTGCTCCCCAGGCTGCAGAGCTATCCTCTGATAAACACGCTGGTTCCCAGTCCCCAGTAAGTGGGTTCTCCACCCCAGTAAGCCCCATCCTGTGCCGGCCCTTCTGAGCCCTTTAGTGCAGGGGAGCTCAAACTTTTTGAGACCAAGATCTACTTTTTCTCTCACCAGTCTGCTGTCATGGCCAAAGGTTTTGAGAATGATTCAAATGTTAATATTTACAAAATCTACTGCTTCAGTTTTTATAATGGCAATTTGCATACACTCCAGAATGTTATAAAGAGTGATCAGCGTAACAGCAATTAATTGCAAAGTCAATATTTGCCTAGAAAATGAACTTTATCCCCCAAAACACATTTCAACTTCATTGCAGCCCTGTCTTAAAAGGACCAGCTAACAACGTTTCATTGATTGCTCCATTAACACAGGTGTAGGTGGTGATGAGGACAGGGCTGGAGATCAATCTGTCATGATTAAGTAAGAAGGACACCACTGGACACTTTAAAAAGAGGCTGGTGCTTGGCATCTTGTTTCTCTTCTGTGAACCATAGTTATCTCTAAAGAAACACATGCAGTCATCATTGCACTGCAACAAAAATGGCCTAATAGGAAAGAGAATCGCAGCTAGAAAGATTGCACCTCAGTCAACAATCTATTGTATCATCAAGAACTTCAAGGAGAGGTTCCTGGAGAGAAGGAACCTCTCTCCTTGTTGCCAAAAAGGCTCCAGGCGCCCAGAAACCAGCAAGCACCAGTACCGTCTCTTAAAAGTGTTTCAGCTCTGTTAGTAATAATAATAATAATAATAATACACCAGGAGTGTATTATTATACACCCATGTGTATAATATATAATAATATAATAATAATATAATAATAATAATAATAATAATGATAATTAATAAAGCTAATTTACTGTAGTTAGACAAATCAGGATTAAGAGAAATAGACCTTGATTGGATTAAATGTGTTGTGTCAGTTTATATCTAAATCCAGAGTTTGTTCTTATGGTTCTGAAGCAGGAGATTGATGTTGGTAAGTTTAACAGCACAAAGTAAATTAATTGATCTCATTGAATATATCCCAGTAAGAAATTAACATAACTCATAATTTATTTCACAAAACATTATCAACTTTTCACAAAATCAGCATTTTTGTTAAATATTGAAATTACAATTTTATTGATGTTGGATCACGCAGAATTTGTATTTTTTTTTCACTATTGAAGCTTTCAACTGAATGTCTGTTTTATTCACATAGTTTTTGTATCCTATTATTATTTCTGCAGGAGACAGCCTTTCCTATCACCACCAACAGAAATTTACCACTTTTGACAAAGACCAGGATGAGTTGAGCGGCAACTGTGCCAAAAAAATATCTCGGTGCTTTCTGGTACAATCAGGGTCACTATACAAACCCTAACGGGGTTTATCGCTGGGGGGCTGACAACACACTCCATTATATTGGAGTGGAATGGTCTGCATGGAAGGGAGTTAATTACTCCCTGAAGAGCATCAGCATGAAGATCCGTCCTCTCATTTAAATCTGCAGGTTAAACATCCAGCAAAAAATAAGGAGTTGCTTTTTCTTATAATCAACCATCAACTTTCAGCTTCAAACATGAGTCAAAAGTTCCACTTGATTACTAATAAATATAATCCAGTTGATTAAATCATTGGTGAGAGTTTGCTACCTGTAATCAATTCATCTCTGATAATAAATAAGATGCCAGCAGCAATATTGTGTTCTGTATTTTTTTTATATGTAAAAATTAAATAAGCCAGTTTTTAAAAACACAAATTGGGCCAAATGGAAACATTTTTAGAATCAACCTATTGGTTAAATGCAATTAATTGAAAACAACCAGGTCTTCCATAATTCTAAATTTTATGCTCACTGTGTCAATGTCACATCTATGTCTATTTAATGATCTGTTTATGTCACTCCCAGAGAAAATAAAGTATATTCTGTGTTAGCTAAGACAGAGAATGGAGTGTAATTTGATTTTTATCTGAAAACAATCAGGAGCGAAACAAGAACAGCAGAAAGTCATCAATTTGTTTTTTTCTTGCAATAAAATGTAAAAAAAATAGCACAAGAACTTGATCTAATAATATCAGGAGAACAATAAAATATTTATAGTTTTGACCATTTATAATGACCATATGATGTGCGTCAATGTGTTTGAAAAAACAAATTACATGATTTTTAGACTCTGGAGATGTGTTGATTGATTTGATCAGGTTGTAGAAAGTTTTGTTATTATATGAAGTGAAAGATTCACTGAATGCTGAGGCGTAGTGGATATTATACAATTCACTGATTGTTCCTTTTCTGATACATGGTGCAGATGTTTGGGGAAATGCCTGTAATAATATTCAAATTCTATTTTACTTTTGCAAATTATAGAAATTAAAAGCAGAAAATGCTGCAGAGCTCCAAACAAATGCATTGTGCTTCAACTTAAAATTGATATTTATTGGTGGACTACTATATCCAAAGTAATGGAATGAGTAGTTTGAATGTAATGGAAACTCCAGGTGTTAATCTGAAAAGAAAAAAACTAATTTTGTTAAATGACTTTTAAGTTTTGATTATCAGAACTGGTGTTGGTCTATTTTGGTTCCCAACCTGCAAAGAATCAACCAAAGACACAAATAACTTTTCTACCACCGTCAAACACCGTGTTGTGTCTCCTCCACCGGCTCTCAACTGCCTTTTATTATGTTTACAAGAAAAAAGGTTTGGGCTTTTTCACACAGTCACACAAACAATGATCAATAACCTTAACCACAAGGTGTTTGGGACCTTCTGTGAACATGCCCTTACCTGGACACCAAGGCTGACCGTTATACCTGTGTTAACAGGTAGCTGTTGACACAGCTACCTGTGTTATTACCTGTATTATTATAATAATAACAACAACAACAACAGCAGCAACAACACAACAACAACAACCAACAACAATAATAATAATAATAATAATAACAACAGGTAGCTGTTAACACAGACAGCTAATGATCAAAGCAGCTGGTATCACAAGGATGTATAAACATTTCCAACCCCCAAGCAAACTTCTGAAAAAACAGTTAATATTGTACCACAAAGAAAGGAGTCAAGCAACAACACACAGAAATAATATAAAAACATAGCTTTCAAATAAACTCATAAGTAAATGAACTTAGACAATTTTTCTAAAAACTGGTCATGGGTCATTCTTTCAGAAGCTATTCATGCATTTTAATAACTTGGGAAGTTGCATATGGATCCATATGAATGACCAGCTGGGCCTCAAACCCGAATTTGTATTTTTTCCAAGCTTATATGTGCCAATGCAATTTATTTTATGGTTTTGATTTGCAAACGCAACATGTAGTGCATTAATGTAGTGCATTAATACTAATTGAAAACCCTGCATTTTTTCAACAGTCTTATAAACAATTAAAAAGTATGGGATATATTGGTATAATTAGCCTTTTAAACATAATTGAACCAAATCTCTAGTTGATGTTCATTTTTTGTGTAATATTTCACAATGAAGCTGCAAAGGTCTGGAAGAATTTTTACCTTTCAGTGCAAATATAAACTTTAAATGTTCTTAACTTTCATTGCAACTGGAAAGTTTTTGCAGCATAAATGTTGTATATCTGAATATTTCAGATAAAACAATAGGAACAGTTTTAAAGCCTGCAACCATATATATTGAATGACTGATATATATATTACAACCATTATCTAGGAAAACTTGACACCTCGTAACTGACATTGGAAAAAGAATTGAATAACAGATTCACAAGCGGTGACTTGCTTAGTGAAAGTCGCAAATCTTAAGTCATGTTAATAATAAAAATTTTAGTAAAAGATCAAGCAGAGTAAAAATAGAGAAAGTAAATTTTAAACATAGTAAACGAGTAGAAGTTAAAAATTAAGAAAAGGAATTCAAAGAAGGTTTTAAATAAACTCAAGGTAGGCATAGTCTTACAATGTGATTAGTATTAGTGTAAGCATTAATTCTTTAAGATAACATACAAGTTATACTAATTAATTTCCCAGTGATTGTTGTTATTCTGTTTTAAAGATATCTTCCTCTCATTCCATTCAATATGTTCACTATGTGATCAATTCAGTCTTTATGAGTTCATCCTTAACTTAATAGTGATTGATGAAATTATATTTCATTTAATTAGATTGATATTACTAAAACATTGCAGAATTTCTCTGAGATTGTGAGAACTTTTTATTAGACTTCATCTACATCCTGTCCCATTATTCTGCAGATTAGAAAAATGTTCCAAACCTCTGAAAGAAAATCCAACAGTGACACCTAGTTGTTATAAAACGGATGACAGCAACCTCTTT